AAAAAAAAAAAAAAAAAAAAAAAAAAAAAAAAAAAAACCACACCAAACATGTGAAATGGTGCTTACATTAAACTCTTTCTGGATAAAGGAACTGACAACAGCCTACAGATTCTGACTTAAGACTTAGCTTAGGAAACTGAGTTACTTTTATGCACAAACCAACACAGTAAGGAACATATTATAATGTCACAGTCCTTCTTAAGAAGAACTGAGTACACTTTTTGGCAATTCGTGTTATATCTTCTCCAATATCCTCATTACAAAAAGAAAGATATGTTTTGGTTTCAGTAAATAACATTTAGTACCTAATTTAACATTAAATTAGGCTTATTTATGTTTACATAAAAAAATAACAAACTCTTTGCTCCTTCTGGACAACGGGATGGGAAAAGAGGGTGATACTGTTCAGTCCAAAAGAATGTTAAAACAGATCACAAATAGGCTGGAACGATTTTGACTCAGTTTTAACCTTGCCAAAATACAGCTAGCTTAACGTGCCCCAGGTTTTAAGCTGGAACTTTTGAAGTTCATTACATACAGATAATGCTTGATTGCCTGCTGAATATTTATGAACGAAGAGAGCATTTAAAGAAATTTAGGAGTATGTAGGTACAGTGTGGCGGAGACCACATGGAAACAGACACCAAACTAATGATAGCGTTTTCTGCTCTGGGTTCTTCCAAAACTCCCAAGTTTAATGAGCATGGACTATTCCCCACCCCCCACCTTTTGTGCACTTCCACAATGTAACAAAGAACAAGTGTTCCCATCTGTGTGCATTTAAGAAAGTGACTGAATCCTACAGCTCCCTCTCACTTCTATACATTTACAAAACATAAAATAATGTATAATCAAAAGCATAACAAAGCATAAAATTGTACATGTTTCTGTAGTACACTCTAATAGAATCATAAGTTGGACCTATCCATTATAAAATGTATTCAATTGGCGTGCAAGGAGTCAGTTTCACTTTGCTGAGAGAGAGCACACAACAGCAAAAAAACAAAAAACATTCAGTGTGAACATCTACCAGACACTTAGCAAAATCAGCACTGAAAATCTATGTAATAATTTGCATTGATGTACATAACTCACTTCATCCTTTTCATTTTTAAGTAACTGGTGCAAATTCCTGTTCTTGCTTTGCAGTTGTCTGTCTCTTTCCTGAAGGCCAACTATTTCCCTTTTAGATAACTCCAACTGCTCCTAGAAAAAATGTTCACAGTTCAGTACCAATAAAAAAAATAGCTAAGGATAAAAGATATTGAAGAAAAAAAAAAAAAAAAAAAAAAGCTAAACCACCTCACTTGAGACAAGCCTTTCTGCATATTCGACTGCTAATGTTTCACCTTGCATTCTCAACAAGTTCTATTTTCTGGTCCAAGCACTAAGACTCTCCAGTACAAGAAATACTCCCACTCATAAAAAACAAAGATACAGTTATTGCTTTTTAATAAATCAGGATTCTGTAAGTATCTATAACTCAGGAGTAAGAGGATATAGTAAGTAACACGTATGGGTTGGGAATGATTTTAGTGGAGTATTTCTATTAAATAAACAATAGAATAATGTACGTAGATATGCATGCTGTGTCCACAACAAAGCAAATGGGACAATTTACATAAAACAAAGCTTAACCTAAGTTTTGCCAATAGCTTCAGAACAATCTTTATAAAAAGGCTTGGTGGGCAGTTACCCAAGAAATCTAATGACAAAAAGAAATGCGAAAGACATAAGGAGAAGAATGACAATGCATACTAGAAAAGTTACCCACACGGGGTCTTTGTTTTTACTGATTACAGTTACATTGTGAATTTATCTTCTAGAGCTGGGCATATTCTTTCAGCAAATTGGATGAGCTGAACTGAACTAGTCAACATTTGTTTTCTTTTATTAAAGAAATCATTAAAGAAAACTTCTAAGCAAGAATTAAAGTTGTCTTATGAGTTCACACCTCATTAAGGAATTTTCAAATGAAAAAAATTCAAAAAATAAAAATATTCATAAAAGTACAATTGCAAATTAGTACTAGGGAGGTAAAAAAAAATTATTCACTGATAAGTACAGTATCTGTTAACACAAACACTGCATTATACACACACACACACACACACACACACACACAGGTGAAACCATCTTGTTTTCTACCTTTAATTTAGCATAGCAGTTCTGTAAGTGATCCATATCACTGCCCAGTTTCAGATGCTGCATTTCTACTTCTTCCTGAGCTCGAAGGTTCTTATGCTGCAGTACAAGCAATTCATTCATGCAATTTATGATAGATATTAAGTTTAATTCCTTTCCTTTGGACTCTGCATAAATAGAAGGAAAGCCCAATGTTGTCAATTCCTGGTGAAAGACAAATTGGAGAGGGTGGTGGAATAAATAACTGGATAAATCTTCGAGATAAACAGTATCAGTTGAAATCCTATATAAGAAGGCAAAAAAATGTATTCTCCTGCAAACCAACTTCAGCTTCTGAGCATTAAGAAAGAAGCCTTCCAAATACAGTGCATCTTCATTACCAAAACTGACATACAGACATTTTCAAAAAGCCTCCAGTAAGCAAGATGTGGCTTACCCTATTGAGATAGGATATACTCTGTTCAATATTCTCTTCTGTGCAGAAGGCACTGAAAAAGCTGTGCATGCTTTTGGATGAAGGCAGTGACAAGTGTAGCACTTGAGAGTTCATGTTTGGGGGAGATATCCTTTTCTCTGAGGTATATTGAAATATATTTTTGCTATCTAAAAGACAAAAATATTAAGAAACAATTCAGGACTAGTAGTTTAGGATATCACATACAAAAATCTTAAATGAAATCCCTTTACTGAAATTATTATTCATAGCTGTTCACAAATCTAGAGCTTAGAACTTCATCTAGAATGAAATAAAACACAATAAATATATCACAACAATAATTTTAAAAGGACAGTTTAAAATTTGACTGCATTCCAGCAGCATTCCTATTATAAAAAAAATTACTGTACTATTAGACTGGTTAATATCATGTTAAATCAATCTCATGTTTAAAGCCCTAATGTCTCTTTACCAACTATAACACCCTGGTAGAGTTAGCACATTTACTAAATTTAAAATATGACCAGTTTACCTGATGACAGCACTGGCACAGTTACAGTCTTCCAATCTCCCATAGCAACAAAACAGGCAGGGTACCTGAGCAACCCGTTCAGCAGTGAAGTATTTAGTACAACTCCTGGCAATCTGCGTTACGTAGCCATCTCCTAAAATAGTAAGAGCATTTTAGATTAACAGCTAGAAGATTAAGGTAAGCATGGGAGACAGACTACTAGTCCTAAATCATGTGACATTTTTTCTTCTTCATACTGTAAAGAACACCAGAATCACAGTAAATATTATGCTGTATAAGTGATGCATCTATCTATACTTAGGCTCAGACTTCATTACGTCTTTTAAACAATCAGCTCAGACTTAAACACCACCTGCACACGAAAAGAATAAACACACTGTAGATAATTCAATTGTTTCTGTTGATGTGGGTCAGAGAAAACACAGCAAGCCAAACCATCCAATAATTTTCTGCCACATAACCAGAAAACAATTTTATCAAGACAAATTTCTGTGAATCTTAACATGAATCTGTCTTAGTAAGATTATTATTTAAAGGCTAAAGAAGAGATTTATTGGCAGAGAGAAGGCAAAAGAACTTCTAATACATATTTAGCTGTTTAACTTAACCTATACAATTCACTGTAGTGCCTATACACAGCTATATTGCCTTTTCCCTGGGAAGCTGCTTCATTCTTTGCAACATCTCCAAAATTGCTGAAGGACTATAGAATAGAAAAAGCCTTATTCCACTGGCACAGCCACTCAGTATAGCACCTTCCCTCTGAAAACCAAAAGAAATTCACACATTCATAAGATGCATGAAACATCAGAGCTGGTGCACTGCCAGAAATTTAAAATCCAGCAATGACATTTAAGATCTAGACAGTCTAACTCATCAGCTGCTATAGGAACAGCCACCTACAGGAAAACAACTCTTCACCTGTTCAGGAAAGAAGGCTCCCATTTTTTAAAATTACAACTACTGACCAAAATCTCAAGTCAGTTTGAGATGGACACCATAGCTTTTAAAGAGTACAGACGAGTTTGCTATTAACTCCTCCTAATGTTCTATTAAGCACACTCTTGGAAATGCAACTTCTGGAATGCTGACAATAAAACCTTGCTTTTTTATCATTATGGGGAAAGCTATCATTTGGAAAACCAAACTGCTGTCTACTTAAGCCACTAGACAGTTGCGGGTGATCTGTTACCCACAAGGTCTCTTGTGAACAGAGAAGAAACCACACTAATCTCCTTCTGGACACCATGAAGCATGCAAAATGGCACTCAAATTAACGTCAACTTCTTAAGAGGTCATACTGGTATACAGCCGTGCCACAGAACACTCAGCACTAGAAAATAGAATATCCCACTGCATATTTCTGCAGGTTCATAAATATTCCTGGATGAAAAAATACATAACTATTGCTCAGATGAGAGGAAAATGTGCAGAAAGTACTAAATTACATGTCAGAAAGTTCACATAAAACACTGAGAAAACACCGTAAGTGTTGTAACAATCTAGTGGCCATTCTTACTCAAAAAAGAGTTGTGTCTGCTTTCCCTCTGCACATTTGAATTTCTCAGCATTTTCTTTCTGTGAAACTAAGATGTGCTGAAAAAGAAAATGGATATTCACATCCTAAGGGAAATGACTGACTTCATGCTTGTCATTTCTGATGCCCGTAAGGCAGTCTTCTCATTTTTCCAATGAAGTCAACTGTGCTTTTAAAAAATGTAATTCAAAAGACAAAATAAAATGAAGACACTTCTTACATACTCATTTGGCTTCTGTTGGATCCATCAGAGAGAAACTTGCAGATGAAAGAATGGGAAAAAGGCAAACTAAACTACGAGTATATATAGAATGCAATCCTGCATTCTAATTAAGAATTTGAAACTCAAAACATACAAATTCCATTAATGGCTGTTGGAAATTCTACAAAAATACCACCAACACTTCAGATATGCAATTCATTCCAAATAATCTGGCTTCTATTTTTTAAGAAACCCCTAAGAGATCTTACCAGCCAAATTACCTCCAAGTACAATTACACCAACCCACAGGTCTTTACACTGAGAAAACTGTTTTGACACAGCATCTATTAACCCACACAACCCTTGACTGGAAGTGGAAACAGGACTAATGCAGGTGGTGGAATGCAATGATTCTCCATACTTTAGTTTTGCAACTTGCATGCTGTGTTACTCGCAGCAAAAGGTTTTCAGGGCTCCTCTTCTGCGAAGCTTTGTTTCTAGGTACACCAACAAGAGTGTACACCAACAATGAAAATGAGCAGAAAGACAGATTCAGAAGAATGGCTAGCAATTATAGAGAATGCAAACATACAGAGGGAATATGAAAACGTCCATCTAGATAATGCAACTATATTCTTCTCACATGTAGGATTCTAGAGCTTTTTGATTTGAAAGGGCAGCTAGCAATACAGTACATACTGTTCAATACATCAGACTCACAAATATATATCACAGATTCACTGTCTGGTGAGTGCTAAACTAAAGAACTTCAGCTGTTAAACCAACCCTCAAAAGTAGTTTAAATTATTTCACGGCATCAGAAGAATGCACTAGCTTTGGAGCAGTTCCCAGTTAAGAGCACAGTCAGCATTTTGTACTTGCATCATCTTCATACACTGTATGTAGAACCACACTCAGATGTGCATGAGACAATCCCCATGTCAGCTGCAGAAGGGAATGCCACAAGCCATTAGTTCCGTGCTAAGACCGTCTCATCAGCTCCACGTGGCTTCTGCTGCCAGTTCAGGACCTCAGCAATGATTTTTAAAGCTACCTCATGATTAAGAATCATCAGCTACATTTCCTTGCCAATCTAGGCAGTTTCTCTGGAGCAACACATCTTAAAATAGGCTCACTGAAATATGCAAGAGACTGAGGAGCATCATTAAAGAAGACAGTGGGGATGCAAAACAAATTTGGATACACTCTGTTCATAAGATACTCCACCTTTAGTTCTCTGCAGTACTTGTTTTAATCACCACAACATATGGAGGAATGCATTCAATGCATACCTGAAGCAGTATTTGTTTAATTATAGAAAAAATAAAATAGCAAAGATTTTAAAGTGTTTTCGGGATCTCTCTAGGCTATCCAACTTAACATAGGAAAGCTTTAACTACAGAAAAGGGCCAAGAGGTTCCCTGCTTCAGTTTTTTGAGGGGGAAGAGGAGAAAATGATTTGTTGTTGTTTTTGAAGTTGTTTTTCTTATTTGTTTCCCTCACCCAATCCCCAATCCCCTTAAATCCTGTTGGTAAGACATAGTAAGAAGCTAAAAATAAAATTAAAAAAATAAAAATAAATCAACATTTGCTGTTTCCCAGAATCTCACACTGAACCTAAAAACCTATGGGTGGGAGAGAAGAGAAAAGAACAAGTCTCTCAACAGCCCAAGCTACTGTAACTACTTAATGATTTTCTTTCCGTGCCCATTCTGCCTATGCAGCTATTTCACTAACAAGGGAAGTGACTCACCCAAATATCTATAACGACCCAGTGCCTGCCAGACACTACTTTGCCTATTGGCAGTGACACTTGTTCCAGTGATGAACAAGACCTTGGAGGATCTGAGGGCCAATTTCACATGGCTGAACAGAGTGGCAGAGCCATCCCACTGCAACTAACAAAACCTGAAAATCTGAAAAGAAAACAAAGAAACAAAGTGTCCTCCTCCTTCCACCAATATACACACACACAAAAATTTACAGAGAGCTTGATTAATACCAAGAATCAAACAAAGAATCACTAACAGGAAAGTACACACACAAAAAAATCCTAGAACTTAAAGCTATCGTGATAATACACTAGAATTTAATCCTAGTAAATGCAGCTGAAGCTTTGCTGACTTTTTTTTAATATTTAAATAAGCCCACAGGTACAGCCCTATGAACTCTTACGTGATTCATTATCGTGCATCTTTCTTTTCAAGGTAAGTTTACTCTGAACTTTGAAAGCTACACTACAAATGGAGAAGCAAAAGTGGTTCTTAAAATCACTGTTTTGTGCTCTGGGGTGCAGGGGAAGGACTGTCAACAACTGTGCCAAGATTCAAGACAAATCAGATAAAGTGAGCCTAAGTTCAGACTGTCAAATTCCAAAACCCACAAGCAGTAAGCACTAGGATTATAAACTTCACACATCACAGTATACTTCCAAAAATCCGAATATAGTTTTTAAACTTGAAAGCAAGTAGGAGTATCTGAGTTTATAAAATTCTTTCGGGCAACTCTGTATAAGGAGAGAAAAGCTTGTAATAGCAATGTACCACGATCACATTACACCACCTGGTCATCTCTAAATCGCACAGGTATAAGAGTGACTGGATGGAGATCAGTGACAAGTGATGTCCCTCAGGAGTCGGTACTGGGAGCTTTAACATCTTCATCAATGACATCAACAGCACCATCGAGTGCACCCTCAGCAAGTTTGCAGACGACCAAGATGCGTGGTGCGGTCTGACATGCCTGAGGGACGGGTTGTCATTCAGAGAGACTTAGATGTGCTCCAGAACTCTAACAGGTTCAATAAATCCAAGTGCAGGGTCTTGCACTTGGGCAATCAGTACAAGCTGGTGGATGTAAGGATGGAGAACAGCCCAGCTGAAAAGGACTTGGTGATACTGGTGGGTGGCAGATGGGCATGAGCCATGCATGTGTAGCCCAGAAAGCCATCCATATCCTCAGCTGCATCAAAAGAAGCATGGTCGCCAGGGCAAGGGAGATGATTCTGCTCCTCTCCAATGTGCTGGTGAGACAACATCTGAAGTACTGCATCCAGATGTGGAGTCCTCAGTACAGGACAGATGTGTACCTGTTCAGAGCATGAGCAGTCGAGGGTCACAAGAGTGATCCAGGGATGAAACATGAGGGCAGGCTGAGAGCCGAGGCTGTTCAGCCTGGAGAAGAGAAGGGCTCCAGGGAGCTCTGAGAGTGACCTTTCAGGGCAGGCTGTAAGAAAGAAGGGAAAAGACTCTTCAACAGGGTCTGTTACAGCAGGACAAGGGGAAATGGTTTCAAACTAAAAGAGGGGAGATTTGGACTGGACATAAGGAAGAAGTTTTTTTTTTTTTTTACAATAAGGGTGGTGAAGCACCGGCACAGGTTGCCCAGACAGGTGGTGAGTGCTCCATTCCTGGAGACATTCAAGGTCAGGCTGGATGGGGCTCTAAGCACCTGATCCAGCTGTACTTCCAACTCAAAAGATTCTACAACACATGAAAAAATGCATTATCTGGTAACTGAGAAAGCTTTTTTCCCTAAGTTAAGGTGGATAAGTGAAGGCAATCTGAAAAGAGCTCTCCTCATCTCTCAGTGTTACAATGTCATGGAAAAATGCGAGTCAGCATCAACCAAAAAGCATCAACCAAACATTTCTCTTCCACATAAGTACTACAAGTTTCAACACATACACAGATTTTGACTTAAAAAAAATGAAAGAAAATTAAAGCATTAGTTAGTTTTTACTTAAAAGGCAACATGATTCCTTCTAATTACAGTAACATCCCAAGCTGAGCTGTGAATCTGCTTAAGGCTATTACATTTGTCTAGTAATCCACGGATGCCAAACAGATGGCTTTTATCCAGATAAATCAAAGACATAATAGTCCATGTAAATTTAGGGTGCACACTAGTCATCACATTATAGGTTTACAAATGTATCTGAGATAATGTCACAAGAAACACGCTTATTTTATTCATACAATTGCCTTGAAGGTCCATCCATCTCTTCCCTAAAATTTTGATAAATATTCTCTCTCTATGGCTGTTTTAATAACAAAGTTGATAATCAGCACTATAACATAGCTCAGATTTGATGGTAACTGTGTATCTGAAAGAGCTCCTTTACCTGCAGAAACCTATTACAATCGTAGTGACTTTCGTTAACCCTGCAATTTCAATGACAGGTCCTGCAACCAAAGCAGATCTAGATATTTCCTCCCTGCACTTACAGTACTGTGGCAATTAAAAAAAGAAAGAAAGAAGGGGCAGGGAGGCACAAAAGGGTGCATCCTTCCACTTATTTAGATTCAAAGAGAACATTTATTTAATATGTGCCAAATTTCCAACTAAACTTATCAGTATTGTCAAAAGTAACCTCAACAGGTAAGCCCACCACTCAGCCTGTGAGTACTGCTGAGCCTTCTTCACTATGAGCACAGCAGCCTGGAAGATCCCTTACCTACATTTTTCAGATCTATTTTACTTAACAAGTCATGAAAAAGTTGTAAGGATAATTTTTTTCTTTGATATTCAATAAGTAAAACCACACAAAAACATACCCTTAGAGCTGATAAAATGTGATGTTGGACAGATGTTCTCTTACTGCCTTTGTCCCAAACACTCAGGTTAGAAGGACTTCTCTACCATCTCAACATTCAGCTCTACCTTCAATATGCATATAATGATATCAGTGCAACCTCTGAAAAAAATTGGAACACGAGGAAATATTTCATCTGACTCCCAAAGTCCTACCCCACATTGAGCCAATACTATGGATCTTTGTAAGATTTTCCCTATTGTTAAAGAATAGATCTATTTCTGTTAATCTTCTGAATTTTATTCCTCTGTTGAAATCAAAAATCATTTGTACACATAGCAGGATATTCTATTCCAGCTACAAGGCCTTCCCCTATCATGAGTGCCTAAAAAAGCCTCAGGAACTCTGTCTTCTGTAGTTCCTCCTTTTCCTGAACTCAACATTAACCATAACTTCGCTGTCTGCAAGCAGAAAGCAAAAAGAGAGGGAAAGGAGTGCGAGTCTGACCAGTTCCTAAAGCTAATAATATTTACAGGGCAGAGCCAGATCTCAGCATTCCAGCTCTCGGAAATGATGCAATTCACAAGGTTCAGTAGCACGTAACCTGTACGGTAAAACAGGTGGCAGGTAAAATGGATGGCACATCATCAACGTAACTACCTTCTCTACAGAATGCCAGAAGATTCAAAGAACGGTTGCCCTGTAGGCTACACGAGTCACAGAGCAGATGTTAGCTGGCAGTAAATATGACTGGTGAAGTGTCACCACAACTTAACGCAGAAGAAACATTAACAAGTCTGCTACAGTGCCCTGAAAGAAGGAATCAGCCAACATGCCTGGGCAAGAAAGTATAACTGGATTTCCAAAAAGCTTTTCACAATGTTCCCTACCAAAAGCTCTGAAGCAGTGATGCCAGGGGATTTACTAATGACTGATTATTTGTGGAGAAGGAGAAATGGTAGGAAAGAGTTGTATATTTTCCCCTTCTTCCTTCTTTAAGTATCGTATAAGCGTTATATGAAAGCCCTAAAGAAAATTAAGTCACAAATGGGATCTGTTGTTGGGAGAACTTTCACAGGTGCTGGGAGGGTCAGTGAGAAAATTTACTCATGGTACAGAGTTATTCAGAAAAATAAACTGTAGGATCGAATGATAAGAACCCCAAAAGGTAGTATGCATACTACACAAATGGTAATAAAAATCCATGTTTGTGAACTATTATTATTATTATTAGGAAGAAAAAAAACACAACACTGACTCAGCTATGTACTTAAATCAACTGGCTCTAAGTTAAGCATTATCACGCAAGAGATCACAGAGTCACTGTGATTACTCCTCTGGAAGTAACAGCTCACAGGCAGTTAATAAAACATTGGAGCCCAGGACAGAAAAAAAATGAACATCATAATGGTTCCATACAAACGCTGAGCTTCCCCCATTGAAATAGCACACATCATTATGAGCTTCCCTATACAAAATGCAGAAAACAAGTGGTGGAAGAAGGTCAGCCAATGCTTCCATATAAGAAATTAATAAGCAGTGACTTTTCCTCTGGAGCAGCTAGAGAAATAGGACAAAATATGTACAGAAACATGTAAAGAAAAAAATTATCACTTCATTTAACATAGCAGCTATGCAGAATGAAATGAAACATTCAACATGAAAGCTGGAAAAGAAGCACTGTTAAATCACAGACTCGCATCACCATGTGCTACATAAGCTGGCTAAAATCATACGAAAGGCACACATCAAAAGCTAATGAATGTAAGAAGAGGAGCAAGCTCTGCTCGGAAATCCTTCAGCTCCACAGTGCAGTGCGCTGGGAGGACACTGACAGAGACATCGCTGCTCAGCAGCCTCTGCTGATCGTCTTTTCCTTAGCATCTGCTGCCAGCTGCTTTCAGAGACAAGCCGAACCCAAGGAACCTGGGATAGCCTCCAGTGCCCTCTCCAGTCCAGCCAATGACTGATACTACGCTATTTCTCTCCCAGAACAGAAAGAACGTTTTTCTCCCCCACTACTCTTCCGAAACCATCATCAACGGCATCAAATCCCGTTTCAAGCTTACTACTGACGTTTACCTCGCACATTCACGTTTCATTCTGCACGCCTCCCGATTTGAGTCATTCCCCTGAAAATCCCGAATTCCTATCATACTTGGCAGCACGCGGAGCCCTGCGAAACCACCTCATCGCAGCACAGCGCTCTGCGCAAACGGGGGCTGCAGCAATACTACGAGCGCATCCCGTGTTACAATTCGACCCACAAATTGAACGGAGTCTCGCTGTAAACACAATTTTTGTTGTTTTTTTTTTCTTTTTTTTTTTTTTTTTTTTTTTTTTAAAACGAGACACGCAAGCAAGCCAAAGCCGCACAGTCAATGCCTCCCGCAGAGCCCCGCTCCCACCGCGCACAGCCGCCAGGGCTCCCAACCTCCCGCGGTCGCTGCTCGCCGCCCTGCGGACACCGCCAAGGCGCCGGGCCTGCCTTCCAGGGACGAGCTTCCCTCAGCCCCACGGGTCAGCCCGGGCCCGCCAAGGAGCGCACTCCACACCGTAGCGGTCGGCAGCGGCTTCCCCCGCGGGCAGCCCAGAGCCGAGGCGAGGCGCGACCACCCCGCCGTCACCAACGGCCGCGCATCGCCCGTTACCCGTCGCGCCCGCCTACCCGCGCCGCCGGTGAGAAGGGACAGGAGGAGGAGGAGCCCCGCGTAGCACCACCTGCTGCGGCGAGCAGGGACGGAAGAAAGGAGGAGGGACCGGCTCCCGGGCCAGCTCCGCGCGGCCCCGCGTCCCGCAGCTGCCGCCGCGTCGACCCCACGCCGGGCCCCAGCGCCGCTCCCATTGGCCGAGCGGTTGCTAGGAGACCTCCCCGCGGGTCCGCACCGCCCCTGCGGGCCGCGCCGCACCTGCTCGGGGCGGGACACCTGTTGGCGGGCCGGGGCCGCGGGCAGAGCGGACGGCTGCTACGTGACAGACCGCCCCGGGGCGGGGCCGTGCGCGGAACGTCGTCTGCTGCCATACAGAAGAGTGTACTTAGTGTTTCGTTGTGCTGTGTTGGAACCAGCTCGTTTGAAAATCGCATTTGAACGCTGGCTTACTGAGTCCCATCCCTAAAAAGTGTGCCTCGGTGCCACGAGTCTCCTAAACACCTGCAGGAATGGGGACGCATCATATGGTCGCCCTGTCCGGAGGAGATCCTTTCTGTCCTGACATCCAGTCCCAGCCTCCCTTGGTGCGACTCCATCGTGTGCTGGATAACATCAGTTAGCATATTCACTCTGCTATTGCAAAAGAAAATGTTGATTAACCACAAACCCAGTCATGTACAACCCGCTGTATACCATCGCTATCTTGTGAGTGTGATTAGTCTAATTAGTTTACAAGACTAATTAGAGGAACGAAGAAGTCCTACAGGTCTTTACCTCCACATGTTTTTATTTGACCAGATTTTTCTTTGCTTGTAAGTATAAAAATTTTGTTTGAAAGATTCTGGAGTCAGAAAAAAGCCTTTAAGGATCCATGTTTATAATTTTACAGCCTGTACATCCCCCTTCACCCCTGCAGAACTCAGAAAAATCAATTGAATAGTCATGATCCATAGCAGATGATTACCTTCATTACAAGGTTTGCAAGACTGCAGCCTTCACTCACATCTTCAGTGATTTTTCTTCATACCTTCAAATCCAAGTACATCAAATTCTGTGATCATGCATGTGCGTACCCACAGTATCAATCTGGAAGCTACCATCAAAGAAAAGATTGAAGCAATTAGGACAAAAAATACTTATTGTTTAATTGTATGATTACATGCCCTTTTATAAACTCAGCTATTCACCCAGGCCGGCAAATATTGATGAGCATTATCCATGGTCAGTGTAAAAAGGAGGTAGCAGGATACTGGCTGTATCACGGGTAATGCCCTGTGGCATGCAACAAGGGATGAAATCTCAAAAGAAAATGAATCCAAAGGTTCTCCTGCCACAAACACAGCTGTGACCCCATTACATTTCCTAAACACATCGTTTTCTGCTTCCAGAATCTTCTGCATTCAACATTTCAGATTCTCGAAGTTCAGCTCAAGAATGAAAAATAAGGTCAAAACCAGTCTTTCGAAGTTCTCATCAAAACTCAGCTCCCAGGAATGGAATTTACTCTCATTATTGGGACTGGAATTAAGGCCATTTCTCTTTTACATAGGCAGACCATGATTACTTCACTGTGCAGATAGAGAACAATTATTACAAGGTTGCTACACTGATCAATCCATGCTGTGTAGGCAGCATGCTCCCAGTGTTTGCAGAAATACCGGTTGTTGGTTTGGCAGTAACAATTATAAATATTTTTAATGATGCCTTCTTTTTAGAGTTTAGTTCATAGGAAATAAATCCTCTCAGTGCAATATATGTATGTTTGTTTCATTTCATGATTCTGCTTAATTGCAGAAACTTTGGACTTCTACACTGCAGCACGTGCATTCTTAGAAGGAAGTAGTATTACACAGAATATAATATGTTAATTGTAACAGCAAGTGAGACAGCAGGCATTGCTCATGGGAAGGATTAAGTTCCTGCAGCTTTAAAAGATAATGGATGGGATGGGTGTTGCTGAATTCCCTTTGTTTATTTGATCTTAGCAGCTGTTTCTGAAGTTGGTGTTATTCAAATGAGAAATTCCCGAGTGCTTTGCTGTGTATCATGGGCTGGGTTTTGTTTATGTTTTAACAGGCTGGTCAGAAACAGAGAAGTCTTTATGAATCAGACAACAGAATCAGAGCAAACTTTACCTTATAAAAAGTAGCCTAACACTGCTCTTTATTCATAATGCACCAATTCAGTGTAACATAAGACTACCTAAACCACAGTGACAAGAATCAAACCTTTTCAAAGCGGTTCACACCAAGGTAGTAGGTAGGTAGGATTTAGTAAGGAAAAAAGTGCAATCCCACTACAGATTTTGGTTCTTAAGAGACGCAGTCGGGGACATCAAGCATTTCTTGTGCTCTCTTGAGCAAACTTACCATAAATAACCTGTAGTTGATATTTGGTCTTTGACAGTAACTAAAATTTTAAGGCTGAAATTCCTTGAAGAGTTTTCTTTTTATTTTTCATACTTATAATTTCCTTGTCTGGGTTGAATCTAATTGATGGAATGATCTGGAGATTCACTTTGCCTTACAAGTTTGTAAAAAAACCAAACTGGTTTTGGTATTTCATAGCTGTTCCTCTTTGTGATATAGATCATTATTCTTAAAATTTGTCGTATTTCTTTTATAAACATAGTTTATAGAATAAATGAATAGAGAAATTTAGAAATTCTTTTTTTATCCTTTACTCTTTGTTATTCTTTGCTAAAAAAAATAATACTAATAAAACAGTGGGATTAAGAAAGACATTGAAGTACTGGGAGGAATGGGGATTAAAAGGATGCTTTGTGAAACAATACAAAATGCACCTCTATGAACTTAAATTTAAACAGGATTAAACTGTAACATGGACAAGAAAGTAAAGAAGCAGCTACAATTCAGAAAGAGATGGACTGATCCACATTGTATTTGCACTTGAATTCAAACTCATCTTTTTAAGTACATTCAAAAATGCTTTTTGGTGGAGTGGTTTCTATAGCAGCGTCCTGCTTCATTACAAGTCAGCAGAGCTGATGAACCACTGACTAGCAGAAGCTCATTAAAATGTCTGATCCTGTTATGCAATAGGCCAGTGGCAGACTGCGACGCCTTTATTGTCTCTTAATGTAAGACCAGTGCATCTCAACAAAGCCCAGCTCATAGGGCTTTCATGTCTCTTTTGTGGACATGCACAAAAATAACTTCATAAGCCAGGCTGTGTGTTGTGCTGTGCACTGTAAGCAGTTTAAGTTCTGCTCTCAGTTACAACTCGGTTAAAAGCTCCAGTTGTACAGTGAGTTTAACACATACATCTACCTGTGCAAGGCCCATTAGAGGCTAGCTAAGTGCTTTCAGCCATCTCTGAAGATGCAGGCACCCACAGCAGGATTTAAGTGGAATTTGCATACCACAGGTTACCTGTGTGATCCAGTCCCTCTTTCTCCCTGTACATCATCCCACTGTATGAAAGACATTCAATTTTTGTCTGAAAGTCCTTCTGCCTCTTGCACTCTGTCCATCTAACTCTGACATTTCAAGTCAATCTCTGTTTAGATAATGAAAGCTAGATAAACAGCAGCTATTCTTCCCCAGAGGTTTGATCAAACTAATGCACAGCAACATTCATAAAGGCATCCAGGGGATGGGCTATTGTTGCCTGGTAAGGCATCCTCCCTTAAGTCTTCATGTCAGAGAAGCACTACAGAAAGCAAACTGAACATCAAGGATTGAGGAAGGTGGGGGGGTGGGGGGGGAATCCAGGCTACAGGTAAGCTGTGATAAGCATCTTGCTTGCAGTCACTAAAGCTTCTTATTGGATTTATCCCAAAGTGCTCTCTGGAAAAGAATACATCAGATGGCTACAGCACATGTAGGAACTCAGGTTCATTTCTGAAATCTTTTTTAGACTTTTCTTTTGTGTGTTCAAGAAACTACTTGCATGAAGTAAGGAATACACAGACAATGCTACTTAATTCAACTACATTGAAGGGTTTCAGAGATGCAGAAATACTTCATTAAAGACATTGATTGTAGCATCTATAGCAACTCATTACATGAAACAGTTGTTCTTCTTTATTCCCTTTCCCATGCTATACATATACTATCTTCTGAGAACACACACAATATTTTCCATGCCTGCTTCAATCTCTATGAGAAAAACATTCACAAGTATTTGTCTGAGATCTTACACTTTTGAGATATTACTATAGACAAGGCTAAACATCACTGATTCTGGTGCACACAACTGCTTCTTTTCATTAGGATAGCTGCTGAGACAGTTGAGAAAATACCACCACCAAATACTAAGGCATTCAGAAACGTTTGCAATTGTACTGTGTTTGTAAAGAAGAGCAAAAGTAGCATCAAGGAGGTGAAGAGAAACTCACGCATGGTTTCTGAAAAGCTACAAAATAGCATTTCAAGGAAAAGCAGTGAATGAGAAAAGAGCAATGTCCACAGAACAAGGCTCTGGTTTACCTGACTCCTCCCTGGTCATGACAACAAGACTTATTTTATTGTCAGCAAATAAGCATGTCTGTGTTATTGTTCAGCTGCCCAAAATAACGTGCAGAACCTCAAACTCTGTTTGGTTATCAGATGAAAAAGGAGCAGGACTTATAATTAATATTGTAATATTAAACACGTAGGAACTGAGGCACTAAAGGCATCAAGTGCATATTTGTAGAACGGCTTAGGTTATTTTCAGGAGAGCCCATTTCACAACCAGGAGGTGTAATTTGTTTTCTTGGCTACAATTTCAGACCATCAATTTCTTTTAAATTAAACGTCAATATAAATATGCCTCTGGCTCTCTCACACAAGCTTACTATTCATTTTCCACTCCTATGGAGCAGCATTGGCCTAAGAGTTACCAGGAATTAATCTTCGTGCAAGTACAAATGCCCTACTTCCACGAGGAGATTCACTGCAACATCATTTATTGACTGCAAAGAAATTATACAAGCATCAGAAGAGAAGAATTAAAGCTTTCAGCTGGTGCCACTATGAACCACAGGAAAAAGATTTAGGAATATAAAATTTCCATAATCATACTTCACCACAGTACAGTCCTTTCAGATTGAGACCCACCAAATAAATCAAAATGTCAGA